ATATAATAATATATAATATATAATAATTTTATACTATTATATTATAAAATAATCATATATTATTATAATATACTATACAATTATATTATAATATACAATGTAAAATATATTATATATCATATAAAATAAATAATTATATATGTATCATAGTATACACTATGATATACATGTATATATGTATATATATTATTATATCATGGGAGAACAGTAATTGAGGTGGAGGAGTAAAAATGCAGGACTATTAAAATTTGTTTGAAATTAATACATCAGCAAATAATCATATGTAAATATATATACATAAATAAATATATATTATATATATTTTAAAATATATAAATAAGCATTTTAAAAATATATATGTATAATATATAAATAAATATATATTATAAATATATGTATAATAGACATATAAAAATATATAAATGAAATATAATTTATTTATTATTATAATAATATAATAAATATATTAATACATATATTTATTATGTATGCAATACATATAGTATAATAAATATATATTCATATATACAATAAATGTAATATTATAAATATGTATTCATAATAAAAATTATTATTTAATTACTATTGGTAGTATTTTTAATTATAATAATTATAATATACATTGAATTATATAATTTAATTACTATCATTAAAATTATTATTCATAATAATAAAATAAATATATAATTTATTATTATATAATAATATATAATAATAATACAACTTATAATAATATAAATATATCACAAATATGATATATACTATATATATCATATAACATTATATATCATATATATTATGTATGAAATATATCATTTTTAAATATATATTTTAAAAATATATGTATATTATGATATATATATGATACATATATACATATATACAATATATATCATATATGATCATATATATCATATATAATATATATTATATCATATCACATCTTACTATGTTTTATATGATATATATCATATATTATATATATATATATACAAAGAGAGAGAAAGAGAGATTGCTATATATAAAATTCATGGTAATAAACACTTAAACTATACTAGATCCACACACAAAGAAAATTCAAGCATAACATTAAATGTAGTCATCAAGTCATAAGAGAACAAGTGAAGAAAGGAACAAAAAAGAACTATCCAAACACCCCTAAACCTTTTTTTAAAATGGCAATAAGTACGTACTTATTAATAATCACTTTAAATGTAAATAGACTAAATGTGCCAATCATAAAACATAGAGTGGCTAAATAAAAATGAAATCAAGACTCATATACATGTTGCCTACAAGAGACTCACTTCAGGTCTAAAGACACAAAGAGACTGAAAGTAAGAGAATGGAAAAAGATATTCCATCCAAATGAAAATCAACAGAAATCTGGGATAGCAAAACTTATATCAGAACATGATAGACTTCATACAATATTTGTTTTTCTCTTTCTGACTTACCTCACTCCGTATAACAGTCTCTAGGTCCACCACATCTCTACAAATGATCCAATTTTGTTCTTTTTTATGGCTGAGTAATATTTCATTGTATATAGGTACCACATCTTCTTTATCCATTCATCTGTCATTGGGCTTTTAGGTTGCATCCATGACCTGGCTATTGTAAGTAGTACTGCAATGACTATTGGGGTGCATGTGTCTTTTTGAATTATGGTTTTCTCTGGGTATTTGCCCAGTAGTGGGATTGCTGGGTCATATGGTAATTCTATTTTTAACTTTTTAAGGAACTTCCATACTGTTCTCCATAGTGGTTGTATAAATTTACATTCCCACCAAGAGTACAAGAAGGTTCATTTATTCCACACCCTCTCCAGCACTTATTTGTAGGTTTTTTGATGATGGTCATTCTGACTGGTGTAAGGTGATCCCTCATTGTAGTTTTGATTTGCATTTCTCTAATAATTAGTGATGTTGAGCAGTTCTTCATATGCCTCTTGGCCATCTGTATGTCTTCTTTGGAGAGATGTCTATTTAGGTCTTCTTCCCATTTTTTGAATAGGTTGTTTGTTTTTTTAATATTGACCCAAATGACCTGTTTATATATTTAGGAGATTAATCCTTTGTCCATTGATTTGTTTGCAAATATTTTCTCCCATTCTGAGGGTTGTCTTTTCACCTTGTTTATAGTTTCCTTTGCTGTGCAAAACCTTTGAAGTTTCATTAGGTCCCATTTGTTTATTTTTGTTTTTATTTCCATTACTCTAGGAGGTGGGTCAAAAAAGATCTTGCTGTGGGCTTCCCTGGTGGTGTAGTGGTTGAGAGTCTGCCTGCTGATGCAGGAGACACGGGTTTGTGCCCCGGTCTGGGAAGATCCCACATGTCGCGGAGCGGCTAGGCCTGTGAGCCATGGCCACTGAGCCTGCGTGTCCGGAGCCTGTGCTCCACAATGGGAGAGGCCACAACAGTGAGAGGCCCACATGCCACAAAAAAAAAAAAAAAAAAAGATCTTGCTGTGATTTATGTCAAAGAGTATTCTTCCTATGTTTTCCTCTAACAGTTTTATAGTGTCCAGTATTACATTTTGGTCTTTAATCCATTTTGAGTTTATTTTTGTGTCTGGTGTTAGGGAATGTTCTAATTTCATTCTTTTACATGCAGCTTTCCAGTTTCCCCAGCACCACTTACTGAAGAGACTGTCTTTTCTCCATTGTATATCCTTGCCTCCTTTGTCATAGGTTAGTCTCATCACGTTGTGGTTGGAAAAGATGCTTGATATGATTTCAATTTTCTTAAATTTATGAAAGATTGATTTGTGACCCAAGGTGTGATCTATCCTGAAGAATGTTCTGTGTGCACTTGAGAAGAAAGTGTAATCTGGTGTTTTCGGATGGAATGTCCTATAATGTCAATTAAACCTACTGGTCTATTGTGTCATTTAAAGCTTGCATTTCCGTATTAATTTTCTGTCTTTATGATCTTTCCATTGGTAAAAGTGAGGTGTTAAAGTCCCCGAGTATTATTGTGCTAATGTCAGTTTCCTCTTTTATAGCTATTAGCATTTACCTTATGTACTGAGGTGTTCCTATGTTGGGTACATATATATTTATAATTGTTTTATCTTCTTCTTGGATTGATCCCTTGATCATTATGTAGGGTCCTTCCTTGGCTCTTCTAACATTCTTTACTTTAAAGTCTATTTTCATCTGATATGAGTATTGCTACTCCAGCTTTCTTTTGATTTCCATTTGCATGGACTATCTTTTTCCATCCCCTCACTTTCAGTCTGTATGTGTCCCTAGGTCTGAAGTGAGTCTCTTGTAGACAGCATATATATGGGTTTTGTTTTTGTAGCCATACAGCAAGCCTGTGTCTTTTGGTTGGAGCATTTAATCCATTCACATTTAAGTTAATTAGCGATATGTATGCTCCTATTACCATTTTCTTAATTGTTTGGGTTTGTTTTTGTATGTCCTTCCTTCTCTGTCTTTCCCACTTAGAGAAGTTCCTTTAGCATTTGTTGTAGAGCTGGCTTAGTGTTGCTGAATTCTCTTAGCTTTTGCCTGTCAGTAAAGCTTTTGATTTCTCCACTGAATCGGAATGAGATCCTTGCCAGGTAGAGTAATCATGGTTGTTGGTTCTTCCCTTTCATCACTTTAAGTATATCATGCCACTCCCTTCTGGCTTGTAGTGTTTCTGCTCAGAGATCAGCTGTTAATCTTATGTGAGTTCCCTTGTATGCTATTTGTCATTTTTCTCTTGTGGCTTTTAATAATTTTTCTTTGTCTTTAATTTTTGTCAATTTGATTACTATGTGTCTCAGCCTGTTTCTCCTTGGGTATATCTTACCTGGGACTCTGTGAGTTTCCTGGACTTGGGTGGCTATTTCCTTTCCCATGTTAGGGAATTTTTCAACTGTAATGTCTTCAAATATTTTCTCGGGTCCTTTCTCTCTCTCTTCTCCTTCAGGACCCTATAATGACAATGTTGGTGTGGTTAATGTTGTGCTAGAGGTCTCTTAGGCTGTCTTCATCTCTTTTCATTCTTTTTTCTTTATTCTGTTCCGTGGCAGTGAATTCCACCATTTTGTCTTCCAGGTTACTTATCCGTTCTTCTGCCTCAGTTATTCTGCTATTGATTCTTTCTAGTGTATTTTTCATTTCAATTATTGCATTGTTCAGCTATGTTTGTCTGTTCTTTAATTCTTCTAAGTGTTTGTTCTTTAGTTCTTCTTGGTCTTTATTAAACATTTCTTGCATCTTGTTGATCTTTGCCTCCATCCTTTCTCTGAGGTCTTGGATCATCTTCCCTATTATTATTCTGAATTCTTTTTCTGGAGGTTACCTATCTTCACTTGGTTTAGTTTTTTTTCCTGGGGTTTTATCTTGTTCCTTCATCTGGTACATAGCCCTCTGCTTTTTCATTTTGCCTATCTTTCTGTGAATGCAGTTTTCATTATACAGGCTGTAGAATTGTTGTACTTCTTGCTTCTGCTGTCTGCCCTCTGGTGGATGAGGCTGTCTAAGAGGCTTGTGCAAGCTTCCTGATGGGAGGGACTGCTGGTGGGTGGAGCTGTGTGTTGCTCTGGTTGGCAGAGCTCAGTAAAACTTTAATCTGCTTGTCTGCTGATGGATGGGCCTGGGTTCCCTCCCTGTTGGCTGTTTGGTCTGAGGCGAGCCAGCACTGGAGCCTAATGGGGCTAATGGCGGACTCTGGGAGGGCTCACACCAAGGAGTGTTTCCCAGAACTTCTGCTGTCAGTGTCCATGTCCCTGCAGTGAGCCACAGCCACTCCCCATCTCTGCAGGAGACCCTCTAACACTAGCAGGTAGGTCAGCTTCAGTCTCTCATGGGGTCACTCCCTCCCCAGGGTCCTAATGTGCACACTACTTTGTGCATGCCCTCCAAGAGTGGAGTCTCCACTTCCCCAAGTCCTGTGAAAGTCCTGCAGTCAAATCCCACCAGCCTTCAAAGTTTGATTCTCTAGGAATTCCTCCTCCTTTTGCTGGACCCCCAGGTTTGGAAGCCTGATGTGGGGCTCAGAACCTTCACTCCAGTGGGTGGACCTCTGTGGTATAAGTGTTCTCCAGTTTTTGAGTCACCCTCCCAGTGGCCATGGGATTTGATTTTATTGTTATTGTGCCCCTCCTACCATCTCATTGTGGCTTCTCCCCTGTCCTTGTATGTGGGGCATCTTTCTTGGTGAGTTCCAGTGTCTTCCTACTGATGATTGTTCAGCAGTTAATTGTGATTCCGGTGTTCTTGCAATAGGGAGTGAGCATACGTCCTTCTACTCTGCTGTCTTGAACCAATCTCCCTAATAGATTTTAAAGAAAGACAAAGAAAAGAGACAAAGAAAAACATAACAGAACGGTCAGGGATCAATCCAAGAACAAGATCTAACATTATAAATATATATTCACCCTAAGATCATCTAAATACCTAAAGCAAATATTAACAGACATGATGGGAAATTGACAATAACACAATAATAGTAGGGGACTTTAACACTCCACTTACAACAATGGGCATGTTGTTCAGACAGTAAATCAATAAGAAAACTCTGGCCTTGAATGACACACCAGACTAAATGAATGGATGTTCATATATATATGTGCATATGACATTCCATCCAAATGCAGTAGAATACACATTCTTTTCAAGTGCATATGGAACATTCTCCAGGATAGATCACATGCTGGGCAACAAAATAAGTCTCAGTAAATTCAGGAAAATTGAAATCATATCTAGCATATTTTCAGCCACAGTGCTATGAGACTAGAAATTAATTACAAGTAAAATACTGCAGAAAACCACAACCACATGGAGGCTTATCAGTATATTGCTAAACAACAAATGAAGAAATCAAAAAAGAAATTTAAAAATACCTGCAAACTATTGCAAATGTAAACATAATAATCCAAAATCTATGGAATGGACTGACAGAAAAACAAATACTGTATGTTATCACTTATATGTGGAATCTGAAAAATAAAACAAAGGAATGAATACAACAAAACAGAAGCAGACTCACAGATGTAGAGAACAAACTAGTGGTTACCAGTGGGGAGAGGGGAGGGGGGAGGGGCAAGATTGGAGCAGGGGATTAAGAGGTACAAACTACTTTCTCTAAAATAAACAAGCTACAAGCTACAAGGATGCATTGCACAACACAGGGAATATAGCCAATATTTTATAATAACTTTAAATGGAGTATAATCTATAAAAATTTGAATCAGTATGCTATGCACATGAAACTAATACATTGTAAATCAACTTTGCCTCAGTTTTTTAAACAATAAGTCTTCCGGCCCCTACTCATTACTCAGTTCCAAAGCTGCTTCCACATTTTTAGGTATTTGTTACAGCAGCATTCCCACATTTTGGTATCAATTTCTGGCTTAGTTCAGACTGCTATGACACAGCACAATAGACTGGGTGGTTTATAAACAATTGAAATTTATTTCTCACAGTTCTAGAGCATGGAAGTCCAAGATCAGGTTACTAGCATTTTCAATTTCTGGTGAGTGCCCTCTTCCTGGTTGCAGCCTGCCAACATCTTATTGTATCCTTACATGGCAAGAGCAGAGAGAGGAAGCAAGGTCTCACAGGACTCTTATAAAGGCACTAATCCCACTCATGAGGGCTCCACCGTCATGACTTCATCTAATCCTAATCCCTTCCCAAAAGCCTCACCTTCTGATACCACCACATTGAGGGGTAGGGTTTCAACACACCAATTTGGGACAGACAAAGTAAATCCATTACACCCTCACATGGAACTGTCCAGAATAAATTATGAATCCTTTTGAATAACATACAATATGTTACCTTGCCCTTGCCTACCAGTTTCAACCATTGCTGCTATCTTTCCATTTCCCACTATCCTACAAAACACAAGACACCTTCTATCTCCCAATGTGTCTCACTTTATTGAAAGCCCACTTACTTTTACAAATAGCTCACTGTGACCATCACTCCCTTTCTCCCCTTCCCCTGATTAAACTTCTACCAAGCTTGGCATCCACAGTAGTATCTCTCACAGTGCCATAAATAGTGAAATAAAAATTCTATAAGTTTTAATTGATACAAGTCACCAAAAAATGTACCTTCTTCCATTGATTCATAGTAGTAGAGGGGGCACCTTCATCTAAGTGGGACTGTTTCATCATACTTTTTCTGTTAAGTTACGACTGAATACATATTTTTATTTAGGTAATTTATAGCCAACCATGGCAAGAATAGAAGAGTAAGGGAAAAGTCTCTCTGTCTCTGTCTCTGTCTCTCTCTCACAGACACACACACACACAAATAATACTTTTCACCCATTAATACATGAAACATGTTAACTGACTGTAAACCACATGCCCCAAGCTGTTCTACAACCCACAAATTATTGAAAAATCACTTGAAATAAAATCTGTTAAAAAAAAAAACTGGCATATTATTGCTAGCCCATGAATCCAATTTTTTCTTAATTTTCCTACATTTTTGTTATGCCAGGTATTGCCATGACAACATGTGTGAACCTCAGAAAGGCTCTTTTCCTCAGTGTAGCCCCACAGCAGTCAGGAAATGTTCTTGTATGAACGGCAGAGCATAAAAATCTCAGAATTACAAATTTTATCCCATTGCAGATATACATCCATTCCCTGTCTTAAAATGGCACTGCTCCTTTTACAGAACAGCAAGCCAAATGTGAACGTATTCACAAAGCAGTAGGCTGAAGAGCATGTGGAATGTTGAACAACTAATAAACAAGAATGTAAATGAAACTGGACGTTCTGCCTAGAAAACAGATTCTATGTGGAAACAACAGTATTCAGTGCAAAATTTTAGACCCATTGAGAGGCCATTCAACTATGTTCTCTCTAAGCATAGGGCCAAAGAGGAAACAGGTGAATTTTCCATCAATACACAGTATGGAGGTATAAGGTGTAAAGATTATAAATCTACTCTAGGAAAGACTGAACAAAAGGATGAAGAGTCAACCAATCATCCCTAATTTGACAAGTTGACATGCCAACATGCTAATAGCTACCATCACCCATAGCAAGTCCTAGGAATCTCTTCATAGTTGAGCTCCATGTTTTATAATTTATTTAGGCTTGTTAGAGGTTATATTTTTGTAGCACTATTAGATACCTCAAAGGCTAATACTGGTATCAAATGGCATGTATCTTATCTCAGATTATGTGATTGGACAAATCACTTTCTTCTGGTCCCATCTTTAAAGCAAAGCTAACCATTTCCCAAAGTCATAAGTATAAAACACTCTATAGGGCTTCCCTGGTGGCACAGTGGTTAAGAATCCGCCTGACAATGCAGGGGACACAGGTTCGAGCCCTGGTTCGGGAAGATCCCACATGCCGCGGAGCAACTAAGCCTGTGTGCCACAACTACTGAGGTTGCACTCTAGAGCCCACAAGCCACAACTACTGAGTCCACGTGCCACAACTACTGAAGCCCACGTGCCTAGAGCCCATGTTCCACAACAAGAGAAACCACTGCAATGAGAAGCTCGCGCACCGCAATGAAGAGTAGCCCCCACTTGCCACAACTAGAGAAAGCCCTCACACAGCAACGAAGACCCAACGCAGCCAAAAATAAATTAATTAATTAAAAAAGAAACCACTCTGTAAATATCAGGTGCTATTATTTTTATAAATAACAAGGAAGAGTAAGTGCATTCCAAAGAAAATAATGCTCAGTTTGCAGAACCTAAATATGGCAATAGGAAGTAGCCAGGCCACATTTGGGAAACAAACAGTATACATCTCTGGTTGACCTGATAAATTCCACAAATATTTTTGAAGCTTCCACTAGTCTGTAACTATTAGTTCAGAATAACTACACCTTCCTTTGATTTTGATGGCTTTTCCAACTTATCTCTCCACAGGCAGTTAATTCTTTGCTAGGATTATTATCTGAAAATTAGAAGAAAAAAAACAAGCTTCTACCTGATTTTAGGTCTTATGACTACAGTTTCTCTCCATTCCAATCCATGTCAAAATTTCTCATATATAGTTTTCATGTACCTGCTGAAAATTCTACAAAAATTGAGTGTAAAAAGCTCACTATTTTAAGTCCATTCCCTACCAAGATTTCAAAGTCATTTATTATCTACCTTCACTCAAACAGTCTAATTTCATTTTCTGTCAAATTCTGGTCAGAGGAATTCCTTCCATTTCTGGAGGATGTTCTTAACCAGATCCACTTCTCCTCCAAAGCTTAGTGTCTTTCTCTTGAAATCTCTTCCTTGTCTTCCTGCATCTTCATTCTTTGCCCATTCATCAAGGGCAGGCGGCCTTGAATTCTCTGACAATGTTTGAAACCTATTTACTCCTATGAATTTATTTAGCCCCTTCCAATTATATCACACCCCTTAACACTTGATTATATTTTGTCATATATATTTCACATTTCAAGATGGCCCAATTAGATTATAAATAGGCACAGGAAATTTTGCTTTTCCCATACATTGTACATGCCTCAAAAGGCAGGCTGATTGATGTATTAACTGATTAGAAGTGAATCTGGAAAGTGATTCACAGGTCTGAAAATACAACAAAACGGTTCCTATTTAACATTAAATTCATACACTTGCCCACTATCTCCCTTGACAAAAGACTATTGGACTTGGGACTGTACCTCAAAATTACAACGAATGTCCATGGAGATAAAGGAACCTTTTTTGAATCAAATTCGTAGGCTTAAGCCACCAGTACAAAGGAAAGAATGCTTTGTTTAGAATAACAAATTGTCTCTTTTGAGTTTCATGACAGGATGTGCAATAAGTTTCCTCTAAGTGTTAAGATATGATTTAAATGTATTAGTGATCCATACTACTCTAAAATCAGAAATGTAGCTTTCTGAAATGGAAATTATCTGTTACAGTGTAAACTATACGGTCAGCATTATTTATATTTAGTATTTAGATTTTACAAGGAATGAAAAAATGTCATACCACAGCTAGAAAGGGTGTGCACATTGAATGCAACACTCATGAAAAGGTCTGTGTCTTGACAGTATTTTGGTTTATTTTTGGTGGTGGTGTGTTTTCATTGCTGTATGCGGACGTTCTCTAGTTGAGGCGAGTGGGGGCTACTCTTCATTGCAGTGCGCGGACTTCTCACTGCGGTGGCTTCTCTTGTTGCGGAGCACGGGCGCTAGGTGTGTGGGCTTCAGTAGTTGTGGCACACAGGCTTAGTTGCTCCTCGGCATGTGGGATCTTCCCGGACCAGGGCTCAAACCCATGTCCCCTGCATTGGCAGGCAGATTCTTAACCACTGTGCCACCAGGGAAGCCCTTGACGGT